GTTTGAAGGGTCGATAAGTGATAGGGCAAAAATTGAAAAAGTAGATTTTTAAATATTATTAATCCTGGTGATCTCATCTTAGCAGATCGGGGATTCACCATTAAAGACTGACTAATGGCGTGACAATCAGTTTTTAATATACCACAATTTCTTGGTAAAAGAACCAAATTCACTCAAGAAGAAGAGTTGAAAACCAGACGTATTGCTAAAGCACGATTTCATGTAGAAAGAGTTAAAGAACGAGTCAAGAAATTTAAGTTACTTAGTTGGAATATTCCTCTCTCATTGTCACCAATAGCTGATCAGATGGTCTTTGTGTCATCCTGTCTTGTCAATTTTCAGGAACAACTTGTTAAATAATTTGTAATCATTTACATTTACTTGTATATATTATACTTACTACAGTAATTCATACATATATAAATGTACTCTACAATAAAATTTGTCATTTGTGGTCCTTTATAATTGACTATGCGGTATGAGTTTTGCTCATTTTAGAAGACCGTATGATGACCTATAATTGTTAACTTAAATGTCATTTAGACTCTTCGATCAGACAAATCCAAATTTATAATCTGTTCTGATTCACTTTCATGCTTACAAGCTATACAACATACTAAAATTAAAAACCCAATAATTCTCAAAATTTGAAAATTCTTCATAAAGAAATATGCTTTCTATGGGAACCGAGTCATGTTGGAATCCATGGAAACACGGTTGTAGACCAGGAAGCAAAACATGCCCTGGATTACCCTTTATCTGACTGTGATATACCATCTAATATTAGAGAATACGTTTTTAATATCTTGAAAAATGAATGGAGTAAAAAAATGATAATAAATTACATGAAATTAAACCTAATTTATGTAAACCTTTCAATAATTTTATGTGCAGAAAAGATCAGTGTGTTATTTCTAGATGTCGTATTGGTCATACTAGAATAACACACGAGTATCTTTTAAAAAATGAAGTTGAACCACAATGTATACCTTGCAACTGCAAGTATACTATAAAACATGTTTTAATTAATTGTATTGACATTGCTGATATTCGTAGGAAGCATTTCAATGTCAATAATATGTATGATTTATTTAATAATGTTCCATTTACAAATATTGTTTTATTCTTAAAAGAAGTTGGAATATATTATAAAATATAAAAAATGTTATTATAATTAAAACGATTTTAATTTTTATCACGTTATCTTACTGTTGATTTTTATTTGTAAATAATCAATTTGCTTTATTCTAGAATTTTAGTTTATTGAAGGACCTTTTGTCTGATTTTAAAAATATGCTTTAAATTGTAAAAATATTCGAATTAGCTCTCGCTGCGTTATAGCGTTTTTGTGCTAATGCGGCGTAAAGCAACCAACAATCAATCAATCTTTGACGATCATACCACAACTTCTTATTTTTATATTCAAAAAATAAATTACAGATTTACGAATTGTGTTAATTTACAATGAATAAATTTCAAATTTAAGGAACATAGTTTGGTATACATTTACATCCGAGTTACATGATTGATTGATTGTAGTTTGTTTAACTCCCAATGGCAAATAATTCATGGATATTTTGGACTCCCATATTTGCTTAAATTTCAGTGGCAAATATTTCATTGATATTCTGGACTCCCAGTGGCACATTTTGTACATGTATAAAGTGGAAGATCATATGGATTTATAACCACAAAAAAAAAGAAAATTCAGAAGTAGAAAAATGTGTAAAATATACAGAGTTATTTTATTGTAGTTTATCGTTTTAAAAGAATTAGATTAAGGTTTCTTGGAACTCTCATCTCAAAAATGTCTGATGCAATAACTTCAAACCAGTAAGTTGTGACATTTCCAAACATAGATTTTATTGATTGTTAATCACGTCTGATTCTTTCTACATTGGGAGGTCCAACAGGTGACCACAATACAAAGTCACACCAGTTGCGTCCAGTTATAGCCATCTGAAAGTGGTATATATGGCTTGTTATAAGTTCCAGTGTATTATTGGCACTTGGAGGAATGCCAAAACAAGAGCTGTACAGATCACTTCTTTTAATGTCCTTTTTATCAAGTTTCTCAAACAAGTCCTTAAGTGCTACTTCTCTAAATATCTTGAGACATTTTATTTCCAAAAGACCATGTTTGTGAACCTCTAATGTATCAGTTACAAGTCCTTCAGGATTACATCCTATTTCTGGCAACAAACTGTTACCCCAACATCCAGTTTTTTTTCAAGTTCAATGTTCGGGGTTGTAAGTGTCATAAAGGAGGTATAGTCTGACCTTGCCTGGTCTTCATTCTCTACTCCATACAGCATATCTGGTTATCTATACTGATTTATTCCAAATATTGACTTGCGAATAAAGGCTTTAAATCTTTTCATGTTTAACATATCAAGATAATTCATCAGATTTCTCAGATTATTGGCCTGTTTGGCTGTGGACTGGCATGCCATTGATTAGATTCAGCTTACACTTCCTTCTAGAGAACCACTGAATTGAATGGAATAAAACATGCCATGAATGTTCCTTATGAGGTTCGGACCAAATGTTGTTATTTTGTAGCCGATCAATCATTCAAGATGGCTGCCAGCGAGGGCCTTAGTTTAACGTAGGACCCTATAGGAAATACATACAAATGTCTTCTTTTAGAGAACCACTGAATGGAATGAAACCAAACATAGCATGAACCTCAATATCATTCTTTTAGAGACTACTGAATGGAATGAAACCAAACATAGCATGAACCTCAATATCATTCTTTTAGAGAACCACTGAATGGAATGAAACCAAACATAGCATGAACCTCAATATCATTCTTTTAGAGAACCACTGAATGGAATGAAACCAAACATAGCATGAACCTCAATATCAAAAATCTCGTTAACTATTGCTGAAAAAGAAAATAAACAATAAAAAAATTGGTATGCATTAGACATGATAGTCAAATCAGACAACATTGATCTCTTTTGTCCAACAATATACCCCCAAGGGTGACTGGGGAAACGAAATATGGTCACTTAATTGGTCTTCTCCCGACCGGCAGTAAAACGCTTGCCGAAGTGGGGCGTCCGTTTGGCCGAGCGGGATGTATCAAGTTCGCAGTCACGTCCGGTCAGAATGGGGACGTTAAATCCGATGCCTCGAGTAAAGAGAGTACCACACTCTTTGCACGTTAAGAACCCTTGCAACAACTCATTGAGGGGTGCGTAGGTGGCCTGTTACAAGGCAAAATTTCTGTCCCTATCCAATATACCCTAATTTTCCAGTGGCAGTCCAAATTTCCCCGACCATCATCCCGAATGGCCTCTATTATGACATGACTATTGTATTTATTGTTAACTTGTTCTCGTCCTGAACATGCATGAAATATTTGCCCTTGGACGTAAAGTAACCAACAATCTATCAAACAATCCAACAATATATCATAATTCCTAACTTGAAATTTCAACTTCTAAAGATTGATGTATTACATTTTTGTTAGTCAGAATTCGTTTGATATACAAGGGATATTTCATGTTGATATGAACTATACTATTAACAACCACAGATTTACGTTCATTTCAAACTAGTTAAGTATGCATAGTCACATGATGTGCTGGCATATTACACTACAATACAGTCTTGGGAAGTGTTAGGTACTTGGTTGGCCTGGCGTTTATCCTCACAGTTTGATTAACCTTCCCCCAAGCTCCTTCACTCGGCCAATCACATTACTAACCCCAATGAATTCAGCCATATCTTCCTTCCTCATTGTCAGCTCTATTGACTTCACTAGTGTGCATGTCCACCATTCATAACCTGAATAAAAATTTATGTACAAATGATCAGTGTACCAACAAATGAATATACAGTTTTATCAATTGGACCCTAAATATAAATATTTCAATGACTATTTTGATTAATGGAAACTAGGCAACAATTATATCATGTTGGGTCCCTAGACTCCAGACTAGCATCCGCTTCCTTCAAAGTTACGCTAAGCTTGCGGTTGAATTTGAATTGGTCTTCACAAGACTTTCTTTGAAACTTGTAGTCATCGTTCACCGAAAGTTCATTTTGTAATCTATTCATTTGTAGCTCTGATCTCTCCTTCTGTTGATGATCGAATTCCTGTAGTTTTATTGAAAACATCCTCTCATTTGTGACAATAAATCGTTCTGTGATTTTCGAATTTCTTCCCCGACAATCCGCTTAACACTATTCTCGATGTCCGGATCCATCATGGCACTCAGAAAAATTTGATGTTCACTCAAGTAAGGCAGGGCTAGAAATGACCATATATACACCTATCATTTAACACAATAATTTTTCCCGCCCAAAAAATTCATACGCCTTCGATCTACTACGTGAGAAGACAATTAATTCCCGTTACACTACGTGCCACGGATATTAGGAATTATGTTTGCTTGGAGATAAATTTTAAATACATAGACCGTTTTTAACCTTTAAACTTTGTCGAAGTCGAAATAATCTGTTACGTTACGAAAGACACAATCAAAAGTATTCGTTTTTATAGCAGACACTGGTCGTTCCCTTTAATCACTGAACTATTAATAGCATTCATATATATATTACATCGAAGAGATTTCTTTAACCCCCATCCCCCGGCACACACACACACACAAATCCACACAACTCTCCACAAGAGACCAAAATGACACAGAACTTAACAACTATTATAGGTCACCGTACTGCCTTCAACAATGAGTAAAACCCAATGTATATATTTGAAAAGGAAGATAATATTTACATGCACTTAACAACGAAAAGAGGTTTATATCATTTAATGCGTCTACCTTATTCTAAACAATCCAGTAATTCACATGGAATACATGTGTATATCTCCAAATCTTTTGATTTTTGATTTTTTTTTATTGGGGCACACTATCACATATTAGTCGTGTTATATCTTTGTTGAGATTTTTGTATATGGATAAAAAATGCGAACTCTTTTTATGATTTTTTGTTATTAGAATACATAACCACATTCTTGATTTATATTTCAGGATATAAGTGTAGTAATTACATCAGAACATCCTATCCAAGAGCTTGAAATATTAGAGGACGAACAAGAACTTAGCTCGATGAACGTATCATGTTTTGTGGATGTTCAAGAATGGGAACTAAAAGACTTTGTAGTAACAGAAGCTAAACAGATGACAAAAGAATTCTCCGAAACTAAAAATATATCATTTCCGTTATTGACAGTGAAAACTTTAGCTGTCAGACAATTTGGTTTCTTCGTATGGAATATACTAATCATAATGGTAAGTTAAGTAATGTAAGCAGGTATCTGGGAAATATAATTGAAAAAAACGTCCTTTTCTTCTTGTATATTTATTAATCATTCCTCCTTCCTTTCATTTTTATTCTATCTTTTCTTCCCATTTCCCGTCTCTAACTTTCCTCGGTCTCATTGTACCATGTCCGCACAAACGTTGCTACATTCTTTTTTTCTTGATGTTATATCCGATTGCCAAAGATGTTACAACTTTCCTCAAACACAGAGGGGTTATGGCGAATTTCCTGGTTCATTTATATATCAATAACTAAGAAGTAAAGCTGTTACAGTATGTATTGTATTCGTGATCTTTGCCTTCTATCTTCTAACACTTCCTTTTGAAAGTTTTCATATATAGGATTCAGTTATGAAGGTCTGGATCAGGTTTACCGAATAGCGATTGATTGATTGATTATTGGTGTTTAAGGACACTTTTGGCACACTTCACTATACAATGGGGACCAGCTTTTATTGATGCAGGAAGCCGGAATAGCAGGAGAGAACATCAAACCTTCTGATTTTGTTTCTGGTTATTGAATACAGAGAATATCAGATATTTTTTTGTATGAATAATATGAAATATAATGCATACGTCAATGAGACAGCAACCGAACCACAGAAATGATAAATTGATCAGATGTCTAGAAATTCCTTTTATTTGTTCAATAGCAAAATAAATATTAAAAGAATTCAGAAACGTTAGTGAGTGACAGTGATTTATCCAGGGAGTGTTGTTCTTAACTTTCTGTGCAAATAGATAAGGCAAATAGTCAGTGGCGGGTTCAGATGAGGGAGAAGCGATTGTAAAATTATATTTCGCTGATACCTTTATCGTTATGGGGATTTACGCCCCCTTTTCCTCCAATCCTGGATCCGCCTATTATATATTGATCTGCAATCTATTCAATAACAATATATCATATAAACTATTTTTATGACATCTGTTAGATATACATGTACTCAGTTGTAGTTAGGCAATGAGAACTACCTGTAATATGAAAATTGCATTATATGTCAAACATAAAGGATGTATTCTTATTAAAAATGGCGGAACAACATAAACTCTAAATCAAAGTCTCTCTGGCTTTTTTTTTTACAGACCATCATCAGCTTGTTATCATTTACAACATTTGCTGTCGATAACACTAAACCACAGAACAGATTACAGCTAGGGTTTACATTAACATTGACGGGCGTTACTTTCAGATTTGTAACCAATCAGAGTTTACCTAAGATATCGTATCTTACTAAATTGGCAAGTAATTGTTTTTATATATGTAACTGTCTTTGAACAAGTGTATGGTTTAAGAATGACTGTATATAAACAATTGGTGATGAATGTTAAATTAAACGAGAGAAGATATCAAATTGGACAATCAAAATTCGTCAAAAAATGGCAGAAAACACCACTGCCTGAAAAATACAACCAAAATGAATTCACAAATAGACAATTAAATATTGAGCATTATATAGGAACTCCTCCAAAATCAGAGTACCCATGTGTTGTATTTAAACTCATCATAGATACCTGCCGAAAATTGTGTACGCCAGACGCTCGCTTTGTCTACAAAAGCCTCGTCAGTGATGCTCGATTCAAAAAAGTTAAACGGCCAAATAAAGTATGAAGTACGAAGTTCAAGAGAATTGAGGACTTAAAATTGCAAAAGGTATTGGTTATATGTACTTTTGATGTGAAAATTTTAATAGTGTATTAGTTTGGAAATGAAAAGAAAAAAGGTAAAAAGAAGTTGGGAATATTGAAAAAGGATACATATTAAGATCAAAATTACACTTTTCACCAAACGAACAACTTTTAAAGGCAAACAAGGAAATTCGATTTGCCTGAGCTTTTAAGCTCACCGTTCCTTCGCACCGTTCCGAAGGAACTGTGAGCTTTTGCCATCACTTGGCGTCCGTCGTCGTCGTCGTCCGTCCGGTGTAAACTATTTCAGACATCTTCTCCTCTGAAACTACTGAACCAAATTAAACTAAACTTAAGCTGAATGATCCTTAGGGTATTTAAAGTTAACTTTGTGTTTTATTTTTTGTTTCGTCAAAAAGCATGGCCGTCATGGCTAAAAATAGAACATAGGGGTAAAATGCAGTTTTTGGTTTATATCTCAAAAACCAAAGCATTTAGAGCAAATCCGACAAAGTTAAAATGTTCATTAGGTCAAGTTCTATCAGCCCTGAAATTTTCAGATGAATCTAACAACCCATTGTTGGGTTGCTGCCACTAAGTTGGTAATTATAAGGAAATTTTGCAGTTTTTGGTTATTATCTTGAATATTATTATAGATAAAGATAAACTGTAAACAGCAAAAATGTTCAGCAAAGTAAGATCTACAAATAAGTTTCATATGACCAAAAATGTCAATTGACCCCTTGAGGAGTTCTTGTCCTTTAAAGACATTTTTTCACAATCTGTTCATCTAATCTAGTTTGCTTACTTTAAAAAATCTTCTCCATCCAAACTGCTGAATAAATTTCAGTCAAACTTGGGCTGAATGAGTTTCAGAGTATCTTGTATAAATTTTGTATTTTATTTCCTTGAACATGTACGTCAAGGGTGTCTTCCTCCTATTCCCACTTTTTAAAAATCACTATTCCTTCTATTCCCACTTGCAAATAACAATAGATGTTTTGATAAATAATTTGTTTTTATAACAATCAAGGTTTATCAAAAATTCACCTAAGATTTACCTGTATTTTTTTAAAAGAAAACATATTTCTTACACTGTTAAGTATATAATTATTTACAAAAAAATTTAAAACACTTTTTATTTGTAATATGTTTTTTTTTCTTATTCAAAGAATAACATAAAATAGTCAGATAAATAGAAGTAAGATTAAAAAATCATTGAATTTGTAAACTTAAAAAAATTGTCATCCTAACAAATAAATTGATGATAGATAATATAACAAACTTTCCCATCTTGCAAGATTTCTATGTACAACAAACGCAGGAAGAACCTACCAAAAACTGGTGAGGAAATCAACATAGATGGTATTTGGGCACGTACTATGATCGAAGATGTGTGGTTTAATGCCTTAACCAACATAGATCAGATTGTAACTAACATCAACTACACACCCTTTACAGACTATGTAACAACATACTGGGTCGAACAGAACAGTCATCTTTGGGACCATTACACAACATAGGGACCGATGACTACACATCATCTGAAGGGATGGCACAGCAAGCTGAAGAAACATGTCCAGCACCCACGACCAAACATCTTTAAATTCATAAAATGTACTGAATCATGAGGAAGCTTTCAACGCCCTGACCATGATCCAGTATGCGCCCGGTGGGAAGAGAGTGGCCCAAAAACGAAAGTAAGTCGAAATCAACAACAGATTAAAGGAGCTTAAGGCTAGACACCGCAACCAGGAAGTCACAACAGTACAGTTTGGTGATGCAGCCTCCCACCTTCTTCACGTTGAATAGTTTAATAAACTTTAATAGACTTATGTACAGTGAATTTCTAATGTGTGTGCTACAATGTTTTATTTGTTTTAGTGCTGTTAACTTGTATTGTTTGTTTCATATTATAATGCTTGCTTGAATCTACTGTTTTGTGTTATAAAAGAAATAAAATAATATTCTTATATTTGTTTCCATTTCTTCCATATCTATTTTAATTAAAAGCACTGAATTCATACACATAAAAAATAACCTATTATTATCCAAAAAAACACTTGTTAATTAAAAGTTGAATAAACAATGTTTATACAGTATAATCCTTTGTTTGCACAAGTTTTCCCCCTATTCCCACATGAAATTTTAACTTTTCATACCAGATTTATAAAAAGTGGGAATAGGAGGAATGAACCACGTCAAGAAACATAGCCACTATGGCAAAAATGGAACATAGGGGTAAAATGCATTTTTTTGCTTTTGAAGAAAATATGACAGATACAAAGAATATTTAAATGTCATTTTTAGTCACTCATTAATATATATTGAAAAGCAAAAATAATCATTGATGAAAGACATGAAAGATTTAAGCAAAAAATAACAGGTGAGCGATTCAGGCTCTTGAGAGCCTCTTGTTATTTAGTTCTAAAGATAGATTTTTAATATTTCAATAGTATACATCATACATATATCAGATCGCCTAATATTCCATTACTGATAGCTGCACAATTAAGATTTGGAAATTTTCTAGTCTTTAAATGAAAAGAAAGTTCAAAGTCAGGAAAACTAAAAGTATAAGAGTTAAGAAGGTATTATTCTAATATTTAAGGAATGACCGTAATATTTTTTTCTATCTATGAAGAAATAACATAAAAAATATGGTGCCTGTAACGGATTATTTATAAGTGTGCACTACATTTTTAAGGTTATTTCGAATAGACAGAAAAATATTACTGTAACAGTCATTACTTATAATTTTATTCAAAGTTTCATTTTAAAGGAGTTAATGATGAAAAAAACGTTGACGATGTCACCGTCACATGACAAAATAATGTCTATGAGCTGATAGACAAAATACTTTCAGCCAATCAGAAGACGTGTTACATTCAAAATTGAATTATTTGCATATATTATTGTTGTTTGTAATATGTGTACATATTATTCTGTGTTATATTGTTTTTAGGATGTGTACATATTATTCTGTGTTATATTGTTTTTTAGGATGTGTACATTTTATTCTGTGTTATGTTGTTTTTTTAGGATGTTTACATTTTATTCTGTGTTATATTGTTTTTTAGGATGTGTACATTTTATTCTGTGTTACATTGTTTTTTAGGATGTTTACATTTTATTCTGTGTTATATTGTTTTTTAGGATGTGTACATTTTATTCTGTGTTATATTGTTGTTTTAGGATGTGTACATTTTATTCTGCGTTATATTGTTTTTTAGGATGTGTACATTTTATTCTGCGTTATATTGTTTTTTAGGATGTGTACATATTATTCTGCGTTATATTGTTTTTTAGGATGTGTACATATTATTCTGCATGCTATTCAACTTTTGCATCAGTATATGGCACGCGGTTATAACCCGGTTTAATGACAACTCAGACCAAGATTCAATGGACTATTGGGCATTTATTATCTTTATAATTATATACAGCGTCTTCCAATTGATATACTTCATGATAGTCGTCGGAAGTGTAAGTATAAACTACTTGATTATATATACTTTATGATAGTCGTCGGAAGTGTAAGTATAAACTATATGATAATATATACTTTAAGATAGTCGTGGGAAGTGTAAGTACAAGCTACATGATAATATATACTTCATGACGGAAGTGTAAGCTTCAACTATATGATAATAAATAAATATGCCTAAAATTCAGTAGTTGTTGTTTGTTGTATATCACATTTGTTTTTTTGTTTTTTTTTTTGTTTATTGTTTTGTACATAAATCAGGCCGTTAGTTTTCTCGTTTGAATTGTTTTACATTTGTCATTTCGGGACTTTTTGTGTCTCACTGTATGGTATGGGTTTTGCTCATTGTTGAAGCCCGTATGGTTACCTATAATTGTTAACCTCTACTTCTGAATCACTTTGTCTCTGGCAATCATATCACATCTTATTTTTATATGTTCTCAAAAAGAGTGTATATTGTCAGTTGATATCTTCTTTCGGTTAATGACAGACTAAAACAAGAGATGACATATACACAAATGAGGGAAAATACAAAACAGAAAATATAAAAATAAGAAAATATGGTATCATTGCAAATGAGACAACTCTCCACAAGAGACAAAATGACACAGACATTAACAACTATAGGTCACCGTACGGCCTTCAAAAATGAGCAAAGCCCATACCGCATAGTTAGCTATAAAAGGCCCCGAAATGTAAAACAATTCAAACGAGAAAACTAACGGCCTAATTTCTTTACAAAATAATAAACGAAAAACAAATAAGTTACACAGCTATAGACTACTAGAAGGCAATATATAGTGTTCAACAAAAAAACAACCAATCCTTAATCTAGACGAGTTGTAAATAAATGTAATAATTATATTGTGCCTACATGCAATATATAGTGTTCACCAAAGAAAACTAATCCTTAATCTAGACGAGTTGTAAATAAATGTAATAATTATATTGTGCCTACATGCAATATATAGTGTTCACAAAGACAACTAATCCTTAATCAAGAAGAGTTGTAAATAAATATAACAGATTTTAAACATAACAGCGGATCCATATAATCATTATATTGTGCCTACATGCAATATATAGTGGTCAACAAAAGACAACTAATTCTAAGACTTAATCAAGAAGAGTTGTAAATAAATGTAACAGATTTTAAACATAACAGCGGATCCATATAATCATTATATTGTGCCTACATGCAATAGATAGTGGTCAACAAAAGACAACTAATTCTAAGACTTAATCTAGAAGAGTTGTAAATAAATGTAACAGATTTTAAACATAACAGCGGATCCATATAATTATTATATTGTGCCTACATGGAATGTATAGTGTTAAACAAAAGACACCTAATTCTTAATCTAGATGAGTTGTAAATAAATGTAACAGATTTTAAACACAACAGCGGATCCATATAATCATTATATTGTGCCTTTATGGAATGTATAGTGTTCAACAAAAGACAACTAATTCTTAATCTAGACGAGTTGTAAATGAATGTAACAGATTTTAAACACAACAACGGATCCATATAATCATTTCCGTAAACCATTATATTGTGCCTACATGGTTACTTATGTTCATAAAGTATATTTGTTTATTTTTTACTGTACCCAATTTTATGACAAGTTTTATGTTGTATGGGACATTAAGCCTAACTAGATATATAAATATATTCTGTAGAACTGTGTATCAATACAATAAAAGTGATGAATGACTGTGGCATCTGCTGACCTTGAATAAGTTTTCAGAAAAAATACTTTTTCAAAGTTTTAAATACTGTGATTAATATTAAAACAAGAAGATGTGGAATGATTGTCAATAAGATAACGATCCAATAGTCCAAATGACGTGGATATTAGGAACTATATTGTTCACTGTATGGCTTTCAACAATAAGTAGTTCCCATACCCTATAATCAGCTATAAAAGGCCCTAAAAAAATGAAACGTTTCAAACAAGAGAACCAATGGTTTGATTTATGACAAAAGGATATACGAAAACAGTTTGACAAACAGCAACCAACGACAACCACTGTATAACAGGCACTCGCAGAATGTGGTAGGGTTAGTGAGCGCTTTAACTTCTCATAAGGTGCTGTAATTTCAAAACGTGAGAACAAAAGCTTGAGTACATTTAACATTGAAAACATTTGATGAATCTTATGACGATAGATACTGGGTGTCGATTTAACGAATTTAAGTTTGAGTTATTTCCTTTGGAGTTCTGTTGGAGGTGTAACTGTTTGATTTTCTTATTTGACTAACCAAATTAAATAATGTGGTACACACATGTCTAACAAGAGCTCCTGACTAGATTAAAGTGATGAATTAAGCAAGGCTTAAATAATTAAAATGTTTCCCCTAACTACTTTTTTTCTAAATTGTGGCGGTCAAGAATTCACCAAGTTATTGAAATAAAACCGTTATTAAATAGAATAACACGTGTTTTATTTTAAATTGTCAATTGTTTCTACTTTCTATGAATATCGAGGTTCTTGTAAACTAGTTATTCAGTCTACATTATTCTTCAGTATTTCTAGAGAAGAAGCAAGGTACAGCAACAGGAAAAAGAATACCAGGTAATTGTAACGTACTTATTAAAGGCATAATACAAATTATGTGTGAACGACTGTTATGATGGGCAAGACTACTATAAATTAAATTATTCGAACATTATTTCTTCGATGTAGCCATTAAGTGAACTCTTGTTGGTGTTTTAACACTTGCCGTTCCTCAGCGGCAATCCGAAATGTAACTTTTTCTCCGAATTCATATATTTTCCCGATCGAACAAATTAAAGTATGATATTTTTGTACGTCTTGCTTTACAAATTATGAACACATGACATTATTTTTAATTAGCTGACCTGCCAAGAGAACAGAAAAAATTATTGTCACCAACTTTTAAAATCTTTTTCACTACAAAATTAAAAGCATATAGATCACATCACTTTTTTTACCAAAAAAATGAGAAATACCAAACTCCAAGGAAAATTCAAAACGGAAAGTCACTTATGAAATGGCAAAACCAAGAGCTCAAAAACATCAAATGAATTGAAAACAACTGTCAATTCCTGACATGGTACAGGCATTTCCTTATGTAGAAAATGGTGAATTAAATCTGGTTTTATAGCTATCTTAACCTCTCACTTGCTTACCCAATAACTCTGTTGTTAAACCAATATAACGGCAGATATGTTTAAAAAGGGAAATATGGCTATACAGGGACACATTAATCTGTTCCTTATCAAAATGATAATTTGACTACAAAACATTCGGAAGAAAAATGATTTTATTCTTCGATAAATTTGTACCTGAGTCATACGGTTTGATTATGACTGATGACCTCCCTTGCCTTTAAAGTATAAAAATTAAATAATAATTTGATAGAATAAACCGTGTTTGATTTTGATATATTTCAATTTTTCGCATCGAGGCATAAACAGCCTAAATGTCAGTTCGGGCTACTTATGTTTTGGTAAATGACTGATGATAAATTCTCTAATCTATTTTAAATGTTCGTTAAAACTATTATTTTTATGTTTCAGGAGAAAGCAGTTAAGCTAATAGGAGAATCATGGAAAAGCAATAGAAAAATAACAAGTAGATCAAAAGTTCGAGATGGTCGAGCATCCGTTTTCTTTGGATAAAACTATATCAGTGAAATAACAATGATATTAGTCAAAACAAAATCGAAAACTCCCTACTTGTGTATACAAATTGAGGCAACAAATGTGCACATTTGTTGGAATATAGATCCAAAATATTTGCAAATATATAAGACAACTCTTTATCAAAATTATTGTAACGCAAAACTTATACTAACAAATGAATAATTAAAACAGACCTTGGATTGAAGAGGACAAAACATTGAAGTTTGTGTGTTATCTGTTTGTGCCTTCAAGCGTGTTTAGGTTCAATACTTCATCATATTGATGTTTGACTTTATACTTTCACTTTCATTTTGGAAAAACTTATGTATGGATCACAAACACATTGAAACGTGAAAGAAAAAGTCCTGATTCAGATATAAGTTCTAGACAGTTCATTTTGACATTATCGGCTATGTTTTACATGAAAAATGTATACAGGTATTATTTCCATCTTTGGAAGAACTGAACTTATTGTATAATAAAAGATTTTTTGATGGTTTTCAGTATTACACAAATACATGCGTGTATCACCTACGAAGTTTTAAGATATAAATTGATATTCCGAGATTTCTTATTTTTGTTTTGTTGAGAGACATGCCTTTTTACTCTAAAATATACCAACGAGTGTATATATTTAACTTGAAATTGTTTACTTTTTTTTTGTATATAACTTCTTGTAAAAATAAGAAGATGTGGTATGATTGCCAAGGTGACAACTATTCAACAGAGACCAAATGAAATAGTTGTAAGCATACAACTGTATATATGTCATCGTACGGCTCTCATGAGGAACAAAACTCGTACCGTATTATAGTAAACTTCATCACATGACAACATGTTAAACAGTTCAAACGGAAAAATCAACGACCTAATTTATGCTAAATCAATATACGATAAATAAATATGACAGACGGCCACCAACACCAACCATTGAATAACAGGCTTCTTACTTGGAATAGACACATGCAGAATGTTGCAGAGTTAAACATGTTTGTAAGTGTTCGACCCTCCCCCAACATGTGACAATGGTGCACCAGCAAACTAAATAATAGTTTCCCAGAGTAAAATATCAACCAGTACAATCCAACGGATTAAATCTAAGAAGGTCATGTCCTTGTACAATGCAAATAAAATATAGATATTGACAGGTTGGAGGACCAAACGTGTGCATAAACGTAAAGCGGAACACATGTAAATTAACGTGCTCTGTAATCAACATCACCCTAAAAATAAGGATTGTATATGTTAGCGGCAATAATTGAAATCATGCATTAAGCTTAATTCCTAGGCAATTAGCTAACGCCTAGGCTTTAAGTTATTGCCTGAAATTTTCAGGCATTAAGCTTAATTCCTGAAATCTGATGATGATTATTCAACCTATTGCCAAACATAATTTTATGCAATAAGTAAACTCTGGAATTTATGTATATTCGGTGATTTATTCTTG